AATTTCCTCAGGACATAGAAAAAAATGTAGAATCTGGTTCTCTTTGCCTAAGTCCCCATCACAGAAATGTTTTTGTTATATGGGTAACACAGACAACGGGAAATGGAGCACAACTTCTGTTCAACCCTGGTCACTTCAGGGTCAAATACATTATCTCTAGAAGCAGTAGTTTTGGCACCTGGAGCACCATGGTGTCCTCTGTGAAACAACAGAGTTCTGCTGAGTGAGAAGAAAACCAACCAACAACAACAAACCCCACCAAATTAAAAGGAGGGGATGAAAGAATATGAAAGCAAAAAGACTAAGTACAAAACGGCAGCACATCTGTCACTACCTTTTTTTGATACAGATTAAATCTTTCTGACACTTCTGAACATGAATTAAACTCAATTAACTCCAAACAGATTAGTTACACTAGTTTCATTTCTATTAGTGGATTGGGAATTTGAATTTGAAGTTTAACTGCATTTTCACAATTATTATTTGTAATGCTTCAAAAACGCATAGATACCTAATAAGGGATTTAGCCAAAGAGGAGACCTGGCACAGGATTCCTTTCAGCTAATTCTAACTGTATGAAAGTTAGATGTCCCAACAAAACTAGCCACAGAGACAAAAGGTGCTAAGAAAATACTTTACCTGCCCCACGGTAAAGCTGCTGCTATAGATGTCTGTTTGTTCCGTGTCTCTGTTTCCCCACTGAGTAGAGGTAGAGCAGTGACACTTATTTTATACCAGATATTGAGCTTTCAAATGGGTAAAGCCAGGGAAGATGTAGGAAATAAGAGAGGGTGAAATACTGCCTAAGTTTTCACTTCTCAACTAATCCTTTCTGGAAGAGACTCCTGTAAACAATCAGGGCATCCACAAGCATCTCTGACAGCAGCACTAGAATGGACTTACTGCCTTGTTTGACCTATTCTCTTCCTTAATCTGCAGTCACTTATCCATACTTGAAGTCTAAATCTTTGGTGCTGGGACTGACTTTTACTTTTGTGTTTGTACAACATTCAGTATAACAGCACTGTGGTCCACTATGAAAACTCTACTATCATTACTATTTTTACTACCATATGTAATTGCAAACAAATATATCAGATGGGATACACTCTGTTCATGATTCCTTAAAGTCAACATAAGGAAAACACTGTCCTGCCTCACACTACAGCAGTTTTCATTTTGTGGTACGTGAAACCCCTGTGACTGGGGAACTTAAGACAGAAAACATGGCTGTTGCCAGCTGAAAATAAAATAACTAGTTTGCAAATCAAAAAGAGGCTAAAAAAAATACTGTTCTAAGCCAAGAGTGAAAAAAACTCATACTCTGTGTAAACGTGAGGCTGTTAAAAGCTCTGGGAAGTAATTTTAACTTTTCAGCAAGAATATCAATCAAGCTATAGCTATCTCAGAAGATACACACCATGCAAATCCATGCAAGATGATGCAAACAAGTCCTGCAGTCTCCTTCCAGAAAGGCACGATGGCTGGTTCTACAGCTGTGTGTTTCCACATACAACAATCTTGTCTTTACACCTGACATCGCTTTTGATGACTGCAAAAATTCCAATTATCTGCTCTTCCCGACCCATGAAGAGCAGAGGACTTGGGTACACAGGGATTATGAACTGCTCCTAAAGCAACATGGTAATTGAAATTCCATTTCTTAGATATGCAAGGCAAACAAGCAGTAGATAGACCTTCCTGTTAGCTTTTTTAAAAAATAAATGAATAAATGAGGCATGACAGTCATATGCTAAACTCATTTTTCAATCTCATTTTTTAATAATTGCCTGGAAAATGCAGCAACCTAACCCCAGCCATTGGAAGGATGACTCTAGGGCTGTGAATTAAAAACAGCCTGCTAGGGGGGACGAAGACAGGTGCAGGCTTTGGCCAGCCAGCTACAGCGGTGGAGCTGATTGTGAGAAGGGTTGAGACAAGGCCATTAATTGGGATTGGGGAAGAACAGGACACTGTGACAAGACAATTTTAAATCCTCTGACCTTTCACCTGAAGAACCCTGGCCCATGTCCAGCCATGACCAAGGGGACTCCAGCTTGTCCTGATGATGTGACGGCAAAATACTCTGTCCTCGAGATGGTTGGTGGTCTTGGACTTCTTCCCAGAGAAGCAGAGTTTCCAGCTTTGCTTAACTTTGGTCCAACTGGCAGCCCTTGTCTTTCTATAATGAGGCCCAAGGCGGAAATGTGCTAGAGAGATGCATTCTTTCTTTCCTTCTGACAGGTGCCTCCAGTGTGGTTCTTTGCACTCCAGTGCAGCAACATAAGCTGGGGCCACAAACATCACCAAGTGAGGTGGCAAGGCACGGCCACAGCATGGCCCCTGAGGAGGGGTCTCCTCAGGAAAGGAAAAGAGCATGTGCTTCCACACTCTTCCTAAATATAGTGTACAAATTTGAGTGCCAGGGAAGTGGTCACAGTCCCAAGCTGACAGAGTTCAGGGGCGTCTAGACACTGCTCTCAGCAATAAGGTTTTAAATTTAGTGGTTTCTCCTACCAGTTCTCCTCTGCAGAGCCAGGAGTTGGACATAATGTTCCTTGTGGATCCCTTCCAACTCAGGATATTCTATGATTCTATGAAAACTCCCAACCAGGCTCTCGGGAGCATGATATGTCCATGCTCAGAAAGATTGTGTGACATAGTTTACAGCCAACACAGTGCAACCCTGAAGGAGATGTGGTGCTTTAAAATCTAAAAATTAGTTTTTAAAAAGTTGCTTTGCCACAGGACAGTCTTCTTCCCAGTGCTTGGCTTTTTTGTTGCAAGGAAAGGGAGGCTCAGACTTTTGAACAGGGAAGACTGCTGACAGGAATCTCCTAGGAAGTCAGATTGTATCTGCCCATCTACTATTTTCTGTTTGCAGGTGTTTACTCACAGAGCATAGTGTTCTGGGATAAATGCTGGATCAAAAATCTGCATGAACAGTAAGTAATAGGAGACTGCGTTTAGACAGGGAAAGACGGCCACTTTACATAATATAAAAACATTTCTTTTCAATGCTCAAGACAACTCATAGCAGGAAGAGAAATATTTCTATTACTTAGCAATTCTCAGACAAGGCAGGTTCTTAGCCATAAGCTAAAGCTACGTATCCAGCAATCAAATATTTGTATTCAGATCTTACTAAAAAGTCTCCAATCTCTAAATTCATGTAACGTTGTGTACCAAACACAACTACTGCAGTTTTCCCTATATATGCAGTAAGTTGAACTAATCTTGTCTCTGAATAAGATCATATTACAGTGATTATGATAATCAAATTGAATTTATAATTGTAGAAAAATAAACAAAATTCCCTGTATTCTTTCCTACACGATGAACATTTGCTAGGAAGAAAGAATCTAAATGTAGGGATATATATTCAGAAGTCCTAAGCTGCCAGCTTTGCAGTGTAGGACATTTTTAATTTGTCATTTGTGTAATAATAGGTAAAAAAAGACAAATCCAGCAAGATCTTTAGAGATGTTGACTTCTTCTCATCTTTCCTGCATTTTCTGATAAACTTTTCAGTAATGTTCATTAAATAAGTTCTTCTTATGACTGCTGGAATACTTGTTTCAGTTCCAACACTTGTATCCTTCGCAACATTAGCAAATGTTTTTTTTTGTTCTTTCATGTTCTTTCAGCAAAAAATCCTAGCAATAAACTTCTAGTGCACTGCATAGAAAAAGAGTCTACTTACTTTTGCAGTGCTTATAAACCCTGCACACCATGCAACTCCATTTACTCAAATGCAACAAACTTTTTTTTCCTTACGCTTAAAAGCTTCCATCTTGCTCTCTCAAGCAGTGAGAACAGCTTCCTGAGGGGTCAGACAGAGCCTGTTCCCCTGCCTTGCAGCATGAATACAGGCACTTGGACATCCCAAAGGCAAAAGTCAGAGGTGATTTCCTCTGATCCAAGCTTGTTTTGCCCTCACTTCCCTGTCCCTTCACCTCTGCTTCACCCCCCAGCTGTCCTTATCTTCCTCTCCTCTCCTTTTCTGTTTTCCATAGATTTCTCCTTTTTCTTCTATTCCCAAAGTAACAATCCTCTGCCAAAAATAGAGAATTAGAGTGTCATCTTTCATCACAACATTGATAATTACGTTCTACCTCTCTCCGTTTCCTTAGCATTTTGTGTATTTATATCACATCTTTTCACGATGGAGATTCTCTCTTACTGTACCAGTATTACAGCGTCCAGCAAATCAGGCCTGGCTTTGGTTGGTGTCTCTTAAATAACACAAAATCACAAGAAGAAAAGCAGCCTTTCCATGGGCTTCTGGGGGTGATGAGATGCTTTTTTCAATCTGAACTTTGATAGAAAGTACCACGGTCTCACAACATAGAAGCTTTATCTCATTAGCCATTTGACTTATATGTGTTAGACATTTATACTCTCGGACGAGCCTGTAATTCTTTGTCATAGCCTAATAAGATGCTTCTATTTCTAACTTTTTTTTTTTCCTTTGAATTTCTCCTTATTGTTCAGATAGTACACCTACAAAATTTAGCTTTTTACAAATCCAGAAAATAGAACACAACCCAGACACCCGTTTGTCTCAAACTCCCACATTTTTATGCTCAACATAATTTTTAAACTGATTACACCAAAATTGAGAGCTTTTGCCTACAAAGTCAGCAGAGTCTAGTGTGTAGTTGGAGAAATTTCTGTTCTGTGTTCAGATGTTTACAAGTTAAAAAAAAAAAAAAAAAGAAAGAAAGAAAGAAAGAAAGATTCACAATGACAAATTAGACAGTATGAGAAGAACACAGCATTGTGGAAATCTGGAAAATCTCCTTCAGCAAAGCTATTAAACAAGCTCCCAACAGTGTTTGTCAGGTTTTGCAACGTTCTTACCCACTGGATTTCTGAACAGGCACTCATGGCTTTCCATGGCTTCCCCTTGCACCAACAGTCATTCCTCCGCACGCTCTTATGCAGCAAAGACCGAGGCAAGTCTTCGTGCGGCTCCATCACTCGGTGGCTGTGCCTTCCCTTGGTCATGACCAAAACATGCAGCAGAACCCTCTCCTGCCAGATTGCAATCTGCCTCCTCAGATCTTCTGGTTTCTTGATTTACCCTTCCCTGGACTCTCTCCTTCGCCCTTCTATAGACACGGTCCCTTTGTTATTACCTGCAATAGCCACAAGCCCTGTGGGTTTTATTCTCTTGGCCTGGTTTCAAGTTTCAGTTCTTCCCTCACTTTTCACCCTCCATGTGCTAATTAGTGGTTCCCTAGCGAGGTCCGGGATCTAGATGCCTGTTTAACTTCTGTCCTCAGCATTTCAAAGATATTAGTCAGGGCCTGGATTGTGGCCATTAGAATACTACTATTGTAAGGCAAACAGTTACTCCCATATAATTCTTCACCCCCTGCATCTGGAAGACAAATAATGAGTCCCCCAGTGTATAGTTTATTCTCATCCCATATCAACTTTGGTTATAATGATAAGCTAATAGTTGCTTCCTGGCAGCATAGTGATGCATGGTAAGGTACCACAAGAGCAGTAAGGATATATCCTGAGATGAGGAGGATGGCAGAGTTGTGCCTTTGCACACATTGCCACATTCTGAACTTTCTCTCCAATTAAGAAGCCTGCTCATTGTCACTCTAATGAGTTACTCATTGTATTAGCTGTAAAAGAAATACTTGATCCGGGCCAAATTATTGTCAATGCAAACTTCTCTGAGTAAAAACCTGTTAAATCCCCAGGTGATTGTGCCTTTAGCTGCCTTGCTGTAAATACATGTCAGTGCTGTTAAGTAGTCCAACTGTTAAACTCATATGCAAGTACTGTGCCTTAAGCTCATCCCTACTAATTCATTCAGGCTCTTCTTCATTTTAAATAATTTCAAGTTTCTTCTCTCTTGGGTGAGGAAATTCTTAGTTTACAAACTATTTGTGCAATTTGTGGGAAGAATAGAAGACAACACAAGCTTGCAGAAGACAGCAATAGTCAAAGAAAACTTGAAAACAATTTGCAGCTCTCCTCTCAGTCTCAGGCATCAGATACCGGCGTCTATCGATTTACTCAAATTATCTTTCAGCAATGTCTCTTTCCTAAAGTATTTTCAATATTCTCTGATCATTAATCACAGCACTTCGCTTTTGTCTGTGCAAATGTTAGTGTTTTCCTTTATTTTAACTTGTCTCTTTGCTTATCTCCATTGAAGTTCATTGAATACTTGCTTTTTGCACTGTATTGTGCTCACCTTTAGAACATATGAACTACTTAAACAGAACTGATGTTTAATAAACTATAGACTATTCTAACCATATAAATTTTGATAAGTACTCAACACAACTTTAGGCTGTTCTCTTCTTATTTGTTTACCTAGCAAGCCTACCCTCATAAGTGCAAGTCAACTTCTTGTTTCATCACTGTAATATCTGAGGTCTGGTATACTTTAATGGTCATCAACATCATCGCAAAAAACAGTGAATATATGAGAAGAAGATAGATGCTTCTTCTAATGACCATAATAAAGAAGACTAATTTACAAACTGGAAATATTTGTTAGCATGATTGACTATGATGTAATAGATGATATATATCCTGCCATATGCCAAAGAAAGCCTCTTGTCTTGCTTTAAAATAAAGGATATAGCACTAGCCCAAATGGATTGAGAAAAGACCAAGGATGGAATGATGCGGGAAAGAGAAAATATTACAGCACAAGAGGACTGTAATTTAATTGAGAAAGAAAGACAAGACAGAAGCAAAGGAAAGTTCTAAGTAAAGAAAATTTTTCTATGGCAACAAGAGGTGTGTCTGCTTAGTCTTCATACACACATACATTATGTAGTCTGGATCAAGAGTAAGCTTTCGAAGCACTTACCATGCTTCAGTTCATATCCAAGAACAACCTCAGAATATGCAAACTGGACTCCTTCTGGATGAAGCCAAAGCAGCAGATGTGCTCCAGCTGCTAATGGGCAGTAAGTCAATAGGAGCAAATTAGAGCTTGCCTAAAGTAACTCCTCACTGTCTAAAACTGGTCCTCAGCACCACTGTTCTACAAGTCAACTCCTACTGGATCACTACTTGGCAGTGCAGAAAGAAACAGGGATGAGAAAAACCATGCAAGGGACTAAGATCAAATTCAGTTCATTTCAAATTGGTTACCCAAGAGGCACTGTTCATTTTCACTACTTCAAGGATGAATACATATCCACAAAGGAAGCACACCTTTTCATGAAGCCAAAGAAAATACCAGCGTGCATTTAAGTATGATGTAGATTTACAGTAATTTTGGTGAATAAAATATGAGTACCAAACTTTTCTGAACTGAACCTTCTAAGCAGCAACTCAATTTTCACATTTTGGTTTTCCATTAAAAAATGGAATATTTCTTGTTTTTAATTTTTAAATCTTTGTCATCCAGTTGAAAAGAAAAACAAATGCTAAATTTTAGAGAGGGAAAAATCATAGGCTTACGTAAGCAAGTGAAAGTTTTGCCACTGACTTTAATGGGGCCAGAACTTCACCCAGAGTGTTTGTACTGACTTTGAAATACATGGGCAAGGTTTCTTTTGTGCTACAAAATGTTTTGTTGAAGCGATTATAGCAATAGTATTGACCACTGAAAAGAATATGCATTGTTCTGCTTGGACAGCTGTGTTATTTCAAGAAGTACCTTCATCATCACTGAATTTTTGTGTAATTTAATCTTACCTCATTATTACAGACTAAATATCTTCTTCCTTCTTCTTGTACTTCATAGGTCTTTCTTCTTGATCTTGTTTTGATTAGCCAATACTTTCATCCTCCATCAAGTGCCTAAAAATGAATAGAAAAAGAGCTGTCAAACATAGGATCAGGTCTTATAATATCAAATGGTATTTTTGACTACATCTATAATTATTATGATAATTACAGATCATACAATCTTTTTATCTTGTTTCATGCCAACATAACACAATAAATATTTCCTTTGATTGCAGCGGGAATTAATTCTGTATTAGAATAATATTTCTTCACAGATAACGTGCTCATTTTTTTTGCTATGATTCAATACTGGGAACTGGTTTTGGTGAAAATTATAAAATAAAAATAAAACAAACAAACAAACAAATGTAACCGCATCTCATATTTCAGCAAGATGCAAGATAAAGATTTATGCCTTGAAATATTCAAATTGAAATTACTGTCATATCTCATTACTAGAAAATATTCAAGAAAAGAAAAGCAGTGGGAGCATCACAGCACAGCCGAAAAGTTTTGCTGGGAAAGTTTTGCAGAAAAGAAAATTGTTTCAAGGAGATTTGAATGACAAAGGCAGATCTTCTGTGTTTGAGAAACTGAAAGTGCTAGGCATGCTGTGCGATAGCACAGTAAAGATGTTAAGCTATAAAAGAGAGAACAAAAAAGACAGAAAAGTTACTGGAGAAGGCCAAGAGGGAAAACAGAATGACAACTCTCTATGGATATGAGAGCTCATGCTCCTTGAAGTCTACAGGAGATTAGCTTAACCTCCATATAAGTGAAGCACAGATTGAAGCCCCATCATTTATATGCCCTGGCATTAGGTCAGCAGAAATAATGCCCATAACTTCTGTGTCCTCAGGATTTCCACTAATGTCTCTGCATGATAAACCCAACAATAAATTTAGCTCTAGGGGTAAACTAGACACAAACACACAAGCAAGCATAATCCAGTACTAAACCTGATGCTTATCTGTGCTGATTTACTACACATTCATAGGTCCACCAGTTGCAGACTCAAGGCCTTCGGCTCAGAAATATTAGAGGACTCCATACTTCCTATAGGCATCTGCAGAAGTGCTTACACATTAGGAAGCTAGGCTCCTGACAGCCCCGGGAGCAAACTCAGCCCTTGCTTCAGGTGGTCTGAATCATTCCCTGGCAGGTCCCCTGTCTCTGCAGGAAGCACCAGCACCAAGGCTCAACAGCCCCTGCACTGCATCCTTGGACAGCCAGAGAGGTAGGAGAGCATCACACGTCTTCTCAGGTTTTGCTGAATGCCTTCACTTTTACTCTGAAGACTACTTTCTCACTCTCACACCATAAAATTAAAATGCATTATTGTAGAAACCCACATAAATTAATTTAATACGGAAGAGAACTGAAGTCAGCGCTCAATTATATGCTTCAAGCGTTATGTACTTTAGGCACTGAGCACAGAACAACTCCGACACAAGCATTTCATTGGATTTCCTCCCCTAAGGAGCAGATTCACTCTCTCTCTACTCCCCCCAAACGGATGTAGCAATGAAATAAACTAACCCCAGCCAGAAAATGCAGATGTGCTGCTCTGCGTGCTATTGACACCCAACGCTGCATCCACCGAGATTGGAGCCAGAAATGTCCACCACACCCAAGCCATCTCTGAAGAATTAGACAACTATGCCCTTTCTCCAGCAAATAAAACATGTAAAAATTCTAGGGCTTATTTACTGCATCCATGCAAAGCTTTCTTTTTTCTTCCCTATCAGCCTCTTTACCTGAATTAAGCCCCTGTTGAACATCATTTCAATTAAAAAACACACTTTCACAGACACATTCTTTTCAAACAGTAAACTTAGGCTATTGCATAGTCTGTCTTCTGTTTTACACACTACTCGTCTTAGAGAATGAAAAAACAAACAAACAAACAAAAAAACCAAAAACCCACACAATAGCTGTGGAGTAAGGAATACTAAAAAAATACAAAGCTACTTCCAGAAAAAAAAAGGAACCATTTCTTGAAGTACAAGTCCAGTCACTCCTCTTTGCTCCTTTGTCCTCCCTGCCTGCCTCTGTCTCACGGCCGTGCACTGCTCTTTGGGTAAATCGCAAGGATTTATACAGAATAAAGAGCAGTTATTCTCACTGACAGTCCTGTATGAAGCCAGAAACTAGGAGTAAATGTGGTCAGGCCCTTTGGGAAAAAGGCCAACAGGATTCCAGGGTATTTTTTCTTTCAGCACTAAGCAATCTATAGGGAATCAAAATTTATCATTACACTGGACTAATGCTTGAACGTATCAACTTTTTCCTTCCAGGAATTTTGGTCCATGTAAAAATACAGACTAAACATATTTTTATATGCTTTGCTTTTGCTACAGGCATTCAAATACGGTCATAAGAGAATGACTACAAGTAAATATGCATGGATATATGAGCAAGAGTATATTAGACACAAACTGCATTCTAAAAAAATTTTTTTTCTAACTATACTTAATAGAGCATGAACTTGAACTTATTGAAAAGATATTTACATATTTGTCATTTGCAAGCAGTATTATAAAATGAATTCAACTGTCTTTATGAAAACTTTAATTATTCAGCTATAGCATTCCGTGAAATCAGACCTTACAGAGGCATGTGGAAAAATCAAGTTTCTGTCTACAGCCACACGCATGGTCAAAAAGCTAGAATTTAAAAATGTGGCTTCATTAATAATAAAATAACATAATGGTGATGGATAGCCTGGAGACAGAAGCTGAACATTTGTTAAAGCACCCAGAAAACAACCACAACAACCCCACAAACACACACATTCCTTCCCATGGTAAAGCACTCAGTTCTCCTTCAGCTGCCTCTCCAACCTTTTTTCCCCAAACAATAAAACTTTCCTTAATGACTGAATTGCTGGAAACATGGAAACCCACAAACAGCCCATAGATTCTCAGTAACAAAATCGATAGCCACAAATTCTCTCAAGTTTTCAAAAGCTTGTCCCAAACCAAAGGCTGGTCATTTACTTGTCGTTCGGCATCGATCCAGCAAAGCACTTACGCATATAGTTAACTCTAAGCACATGAGCAACCCCATCCATTTCAGTGGGACCTCTCACAAGTTTGATGTTAAGCAAGGGCAAAAGTGACTTGCTGGAACACTGCCACTGAACAGAAAGCCCTTACCAGAAAGGCTGAATATTTCCATGCACATAGTGCCTGGCCCCTTTTGTGTGAATGGCTACTTAAAGATAATGATCACAAGAACCTCTGTTATTTCAGGTACAGTAGGGGATGGAAGACTTTTTGATGAACATAAGAGAAAACAATCATCTGTCCATCCAAATGGGTATGACAGCCACTATCAGGTGTTGTTTCTGTGTTTCCTAGGACAACCAAAATAACACTACTGCGTTGCCACGGCAACACAAATATATCACAATGCTAAATACATTCACAGTATGCAACAAGAAAAATGCCTTATTTATAGTAACTTAACAGATGAAATATCCTTATTCAGCTCAAGAACAATCTTTCTTCCTGGCAACCTGCATACTAAATCAATCTAGAATTTATTCTTGTCTGTCCCTGAACAGTGCACCACCACAATTCTACTTCACATCAGTGAAGCAACTCACAACCTGCTGGGTTTTGTATCGCCTGATTAATTCTGGGTATCAGTCAGAAATGGCCTTCTTCCTTTGCTTGCATGTGGCTTGAAAACAATTTTCTGACCTAGTCATTGCTTGTTGTTTGATAAATGTGTCATATTGTATATGGACAAGAAACAAAGCCTGAAATTGGTGGCTCATTGCCTGCATAAGGTCTTTCCATCAAATAGCTGCTGGTCAGATATTCTTTCCAGTCTGGGATAACACATTTCCGATTTTCTCCTGTAGGAGAAAAGCCAGTCCACTGTCTCCTACCACTGTGTTTCAGCTAGATCCTGCCTGATGGCACTGCACCATGGTCCTTCACTGACCTGCAGGTTTGCAGATCAGGTAGCTGAGAAGCAGCCTCCACTACAGACACCTTTTAAGAATACAAGGAACTAATGCAGAATAACAATTTTTTCTCCTGAGCTATGATTTGAACCACTTCTTGTTTCCACAGTCTGTTCTGTGGTTTTGGTATAAGTCTGAAGAACTTTCCGCTTCATTTAAAAACACTGAGAATGAGAACTTAGCTTCTAATAATAATTTACATTGACTAAGATGCAAACAATTCTACAAGTCTAGCTGTGGACAAGTGCATTAAGTATAGCGGCAATAGAGAAACACGACTTAAAGTTCCTGCTGCCAAAAATGATTTTGCCCTTATGTTAGAAGTGCATTTGTTCCAAAAGCTCTTGTACGGATCACCCTGTGCAGTCTAGTACTCCACACAGTCACAGGTAACAATGAGATAGGCAGTAAGCATTTAGAAAACATACTGATCTTCTGATCGCTTCTTAGTAGAACTGATCTGTGGAACAGGGCTACCTTACGCCCGAGCTTCCTGGGATGAAGCCTCTTACCACACAGGGAACTTCAGATATTTGCTTCAGGCTTGCAGATGTCTGGCAAGCTGGTCTGAAGTCCAGGCTGTTGGCTGTCAGACTCGGTCACTAAAAAAAAAAAAAGGAAAAGCCATCACTGCCCACATACAGGCCAACACCATGGCTCAGGCACGGGGAACCAGCAACGTTCAAGGAGTGCGGCATGCATCAGGTGTGCTACGTTTCTTTGCTACACCAAAACCAACCCGCACAGCAGTGTAACAGATTCAGCACAGGCTGGATTTGATGGACTCACCAGGACCACGGATTCACGCTGCAAAGTCTACATCATGCATCTGCAGTAAGTTTGATGTACATCAGATACACAGAGTTGGCTATTCATGGCCCACCACAAACACACACATTTCTGTTCAGAAAGCCTCGGAATGAGATATAAAATCATTATACATCACAGAGTATTACAGCCAAAACTGCCACTCCCTCAGTCCCACACAAAGATGCCAGTACCTGAATGGGCTGGGAGTGGAAGAAATAATTTTCCCTACAAAAACACAGAGCTGTATGATGAGTCCTTGATTCTGTTACTCCATAATCCGTGAAGAGCAGCAGAAGTTGTGTTCAAAACCATCAGTCCACCCACTGGTCAATGTATGCTCCAAAAGGATTTGATCAAGACTGGACCAAAATCATCCTCGCTTTAATGAATTCATAGCCAGCATTTGCCAAAGGGAATCAATTCTACATAGCTGCACTCTTGATTTTACTATTTAAAAAAAAAGTCAGCCTCAAGCTATAGCAAAACCTAAACAGAACTGGTGGGACAATGTGGCAAAGGTTGCCTGGCTGACCTATCTGTGAAATATAATTATTTCAATTTTTGATGAGAAAAGAGAGATCAGGGTCACAGATACAAGTATTTACAAATGCAAGCTATTAACTTAAGAACTCTGGGATTTAGCTGGGGAAAAATACATTTACTGGAATGAACACTGACAAGTAAAATATTTAATCCCCAAAGTTTTATTTCTCCTAAACATAAAATAATATTGCTTTGAATGGTCCATAAATAACATTAATGGGGAGATTTTGAATGGAAAATCTCTAATGATATATGAGAGAGGACTTACATAGGTTTAACTGGGCTCTTTCTCAAACTTGGCAACCGTGTTATAAAAGGTTTTGGTTTTTTTAAAGGAACATTACAATATGTTATCTGCTTTGGATCAAGTCCTAAAGAAGATTTTTGTTCCAAATTTGCAAATGCCTTCAATGCAGAAGCAACAACGGGAAACATATTTGTTACTGCATTTTGCAACATTAGAGAACAGAGGTGTTTTTAGAGCTCTGTGTTGTGATGTGAGCTGTCTATATATGCCACTAGATGATTATGCTAAGCCTCATTTGTGCTTAAACATAATGTGCATAAAGGAAGGCTTCCTAACAAAGTCATGTCTGCATAGCTTCTATGAATATACATTAAAAAGCCAAATAAATTAAATGTTGTCTTTTCATTCTCAATTTTCTAATACAGTGCTATTAAAAAAAAAAAAAAAAAAAAACAAAACAAAACAAAAAAAAAGTTTGAGATAGGTTAAGTGCAATCAATCCCATTTCTGCAAGTTAAAAAACAGAAGCAGAAAGATGAGCAGGCCGTGTAAATAAGCATATGAACGTTTTTTCCCTAGTTGAGGCCCTTCTAGTCCTCAGGTTCACACCTAAAGCAATGCAGCAATAGCAATACTGGGACATAAACCACAGGTCAAAATACAAGCTCATGTAAATCGACGATGTTCCCCAGCATGAGAATTTTAAGCAAAGTAGTAAATCCAGCAATGATGAATCATCAGTGCGGAATCAGTTCAGGATTGGAAACTGAAATGAAATTGTTGGTGAGGTAGTAGAAAAGTGTGAACCACTGTCTTAAATATCACACAAGGGATTTATATGATAAAGAATTTAGTGACTCATTTGCACAACATAAACATGCATTAATCTAGGCTGCATGCTGAACAATTTTGAACTTAATAAAAGAAGTGATTGCTGAACTATGATATATGTATGCCATATCTTCTCATTTCAAAAAATAAAGTCGTATCCAGTGTATTAGACAATCTAGGAAAAGTATGCACAGTATAAGTTACAAATTCAGATCTCTCTACATAAGAAGAGAATTGTTCAAGAGTATAATTATGAGAAATGTTGATTTTGTGTAACCAAAAACAATAAATTACCCAAATTACTTAGATTTGTACTCAGCAAGCATTAGTTAAAATGTCAAAAGCAAGATTTTACAGTAAGCCAACCATTAAGATACCTTACGTAAGCATTAGTAAGACATATTGGTGGAGAAAATTCAGTGAGATTATTGGCCTGTTATAAAAGTTCTCAGTTACCTAGATTTTAGAAAGAATACTTCATAAATATTTCAACATTGTGAATAAAAATTAGGAAATAATCCACAAGCAGCAAATGCCTTGTTTTATCTTCCTACAACATTCAGAGTTCATTCTCTTCAAACTTGTAGATTTTGTACTGGATTTTTTTCCAAAAAGACTTACATGTTCTAAATGGCTCCTACAGCATGACTCTTCAAATTGTGCACTGCTCACTTCATGAGCGCTTGCGAGCAATAGCAGCAGTTCTTACATATAAAAGCAGCAGCACATAAGCAGATCCAATCTACCCATGGTAAAGGCACAGTAACAAAGACATTGATTTAAGAATACAAGCCTATCCACGGTGGCTTAAAAAAGAAAACAGTTTAATTCTGTACAAAACCATAAAGTTTTGAGGTTGTATTCAGTACACTCTGTAGCCTGAGATTAGAGTTTGCCTAAAAACTGCAGTTCTGAAGGTCTTATACATGAATTGATATTGTTCTGAAATAAATACAAAATGGTAACTGTGTGGATTTAAAAATAGAAAATGGCTACATTGAGGACAATGAACATCTTCAAAGAACGGCCTGTCTGTTCTCCATTAAGGTTTCTCGTAACACCAAGAATTTTAGCCTGTAAGTAACAGCCATGATGTAATAAACTTATAGAAAGCACATAGGTAAACCAGTTAAAACCACTTCCCATGGATGATATTTTGGGTGAAATATTGAAATAAAGGATTTTAGAGCAACATCTCTGACAGCTGAAAATAATACTAAACTTGAGCACAGTACTCTACAGCAACCAAGTATGGATATCACATTAAGCACAGAATTGCTCCTTTCAAAATACTAGAAATGAGGTCTATATTTAGAATTTAGCTGACAGTTTTCACATGCAGGAAAACATCGCATTTGTATGCAAATCAAATCACTGTGTACAGAAGCCATTCCGTAACAGGAATCAGCCAACCAGCTCAAATCAGATCAGGCTTTGCTTTTATGATATAGAAAATTTCCATCTACTGATCAGTTAGATATATTCTTTTTCTATTTCAATGTAATTAATCTACAGAATGAAAAGAAAGAATGAAAAGCAATTTGCTAGAACTTTTCTAACAGACACTATAAAACAAAATAACTTCGACGTAGCTGTTATTTCCGTTTCTCCATAGACTGAAAAAAAGTGGAAAAAACAGGCCTTAATGACAACTGTTAGGTATCATTTACCATTTCATATTCACATATAATTTTCCCTACACAAGATTTTATCAGTTTGTGACCTTTGCATAATAGAGACTCAAACAGCCTAAAGAATGTAAAAACAGCTCTCAGAAGCTGAGTTTGAGGTATTGGAAATGTATACTACATATCTTCCATTAAAAAAGAAACAATCTCTACGCAAGTTTTAAATATTCTCATCGCTTATTAATCTCCTTTTCACTTTTTTTTTTTTTTCTTCCATCACAGTTCTTCCATTGACACTGCTGTGTAATGATTGCTTTGCTTTCAGAAAAAGGAAAGAATTAAGCATTCTCAGAAAGTCTACATCTCTACATCGATAAAGCAGGCATACAATTCCTCCCCTCCAAAAACAGAGTCTGCAAAGCCCCTTAAATAAACTAATTTAGAGAGGGAGTTACATATGGTAATGCTGAAGAGAATATTTGAGAGAGAATCAGAGCATGAGATTCACATTTTTAGGACAGAGAATGAAGAATGTGGAGAAAAAAAGAACATGAGCATGGAGAAAGAGAACAAACAGGCACAGAACAGCTAACAAAGAAACCACAGAGCTAAGGAAGAAAGTCACTTGCTGCATTTGCTTTCAATCATCAGTTTTGGGACCTTCAGGTCCTTCCGTGGAAAATACTGACTGGTTAATCAGCTATTCCAGACACAGACCTTTCAGCTAAATACAATGCACTCACTTTTGCTTTTCTTTCAAAGAAAATGGTTAAACGAAAATCACCACCAGAGAGGTGCCAATCACTGACCCTGGACATGTTCAAGAAATGTGTAAATGTTGCATTGAGAGATATGGTTAAGTGGGAAATACTGGTTACAGATGAATGGTTGGACTGGATGATCTTACAGATCTTTTCCCACCTTGGTGACTCTATGATTCTATGAAAAAGGAACTATGAAAACTTACCTGTATGCAAATGATGCATTCAGACCTTCTTGAACCACACTTAGCCTTATGAGTCTGGTGAATTATATTTATGAAACTACCTATTTAAGAAGTGATTCAATTAAAGCAGAATATCATTTTGTGCTCTAAGAATAGAAATGACCAACAGCTCCTGTTTGTATCTAAGGTTTGATAAAATTTATAAGACATTGTTATAAACCTGACATTAATATCAAGTTTTATGGAAAGTCTCGTTCAAATCACTTTTTGTTGAGTAAATAAAATTGTCCTGCCTGAGGAAAGATAGCAAATCACTTGTTTTTCTCTTAGTTTCAGGCTTCTATTGAAGTGCCTGCTGGAGGATCAGTTTTGCAATACCTTGAGACTGCCTCAGTTGGAGCCGAAGTCCACACAAATGCACCCCTTGCTTCAGTTAAGCCTTTGGATCGTGTCCTGTCACAAGATAGATTATTCGTGATGATCAGCACTTGGGAAACAGAGCTTTGTAGATGCCACAAAAAAAAAAAAAAAAAAAAAAAGGCTGTACAAAAGTATTGAAACACTTTCAAGATGTAAAAAGTAAAATAAAAACTGCAGCTTCAAACACCATAAAGATAGCGTCAAACAAATATATTGCAGAGACATAACCTTATTTCTATATGTTTGTTTTGATTAAATCGGAAATACCGATCTGGTATCCCAGAAGATTAAAGTTTCCTTACTTCTAACAATGGCAATAAATCATCCATATCTTTAACACCAAAATGGTTTTAAAAAGTGCTGAGTTCCCTGTGCCTCGGTCACAGAAGTTCAGGATTTTCCTGCCTTCAAATTAAGATCTTTGTCATTTCCAGCTTCCTTCAGGAATCTTTTCTCACAGGGCAGATTAACATGGTTCTAACTGTGTCAGAATCACCATCTTTTTTTTTTTTTAATGAGCATTCCTGTAGGAATTCTGTAAAACGTCAGTATAGAACTTTATTTGTGCCCTTTGGCTTAAGCAGGGCAGCTTGAAAATTCCTAGATTCAACTGCAACAATTCTCTTTCTGCAGGGATTCCTGCTATTCCTCCTTTCCTTGATTTTACTTCATTTTTAAACTGTTACAGATACTGTCTTACAAACGAATACATCTTTATAAATACTTAACATGCATTTTCTGCTTCAGAATATTTTACAGAATCCTCCTTTCCACACAGTCTCAAAAGCTTCTCATGTCTTTTTGCATATTTATTTTAGCTTTCCACATACATTTTATAACATATGTTTTTTATATATCTAATGAATTATAATGAATTATATGTCATTAAAATATTATTACATATCATACATACATATTATCATACATATATATAACATCTATGTACAACTCTACTTGCTGGGTTTTTTGTTTTGTTTTTTAGGATCGACATGTTAGCTGATGGCTCAAATCATGTTTTGCTGCTGATTTGTCTTTCAAGAGAAACATGGCTCATAATCCAGGCTAACAAAGTCTTACTCAATGGCACAGGTCTACTCAACCGGTTCTGGTTTTTGGTACCAACCACAAAGGTACAATATAATCAGTGTACTTATTCCAAACTTGGACTATTTCCTCCTACTCCATTGGAGCAGGTTGCCCTCAGAGCCAAAGACTTCACAGTTAGGTCTGAAATGGTCAGTCTTTTAAGAGATATTCATCATGAAATGAAAAACAAAAATATATTTAAAAAAAAAAAAAAAAGAAAATTAAAAAAATTAAAGAGGAAAGAGAGATGTCATAGCATCCAGGTTTATACACCAATGTGAGATGCCCTGGTTTTGGACTATGAATACTCCAGCGTTGCTTCTCTCTCCACCTCATCACCTGAATGTTCCAAGGGGTGAATCTGCCTCTACCAAGCAATAGGAGTCTTTGCAATGACACTGACAAGCACTGGGTCATATCCTTCATGAGGAAACTCCTAAAATTAGTATGAATGTCCTAGGTTCTGCTTCTAAATGAAAGCACTCTAATTGAAGGTACATTTTCTGCCTCGTAAAGGACTTGCTCAAACTTGTCTAAATCAGCACAGTCCTTGGCTCACACCATTTTAATAAGACCCCTGTGTATTAAAGCAGATTATATGACACATGTTAAGGTTCATGTTTGATATCAAATTAAGTATCTGGATGATTTATGGAAGAGTTCACCTCCCTTTCCAAAACGTGAGGTTTAATACTAATCTTTAACCAGATCTTCCAACACTTTCTGCATTTAGGCCTTCTCCGCTTGAAACCTTCAGTGTCGTTTTTATTATCACAAGAGACCAATACCCAGCCTAGCATCTGTTATTATTCCTTTGCCTTCTCTCCCTAGGAGGATGCATGAACCTAGCATATATCACTGTGATTACTGGATGCTGCTAAATTCCTAGAAGAAAGAAGCATTGCTTTCCTCCGCCTCGTAGGAGGATTTGATTGCACTATTACTCTGTGCACTAATGTGCTGCTTGGCTATAAAGGGAATTGTTGTGTAGTTTCTTTAAAAAAAAAAAAAAAAAAAAAAAAAAGACAACATAGCAATAAAAAGCCCCACAAGTTCCATAAAGTAAACGAACACCTACCATTAGCTCTTACCCACAAGGATCAGCATGACAGCTGTATTGATAATGACAGGCATTTGGCTGGAAGCACTTTGGGAGGCAAAAGTGTGAGTTACACCTCGCTGTATAGAGCAGGATGCTGTGCATTAGCATCTGTCACTGAAAGCAACGGCAGGTGATGCTATAGGTCACTCACCCCCTCCTTGTTGTTTCCACTGACAGAGAAGCTTCACAGGTCATTGGGGACGTTACGGGAACCAATCTGCACAGGCTAGAATAGGAACTCCCTGCTGCACCAGACAAACCTAAGCCTGCCTGTTTTACTCTTTCCATGGAATCAGAGCTGTGCTTTCAAGGGTATTTATCTACTGTGACCCTAAAAGCTCACTTCCATTTGTTTTTCCTTTAGATGCTGTGATAATCTACTTCCTTATGCTTTTATTTAGAGATTTCCACTGTAAATTACACCTTATTCATTCTCCCATTTCCTTACTTTTTTTTTGCAGCAACTGCCCCACTGCTTTTTTCTCTCTCTCTTTTTTTTTTTTCTAGAAAAAAAGAAAAATCTGTACTTAGTCAATATTTGATTGAATCTCTCTTTTTTTTAAAAAAAAAAAAAAAACAAACAAAAACATATGCATCACTTCTGCGTACACATTCGATTTTGAACTCTTTACCATTTTCTTTCAACAAACCTTGGCACATGGTATAAATGGGTACAGAGAGTAGATCTTAAGCTCTCATAGGCAATGACCCTATCCAGAGCAAATAGTTCCATAACAATGAGTACACTTGAATACAAATAAACTTTCAGGCTCATGTGATGAATCTGAATTAACAGTCGATGTGCACAGACCTGACACGAATTAACCACATGTTGGTAGTACAACAGACCTTGTCCTCAGCAGCTGCCAGCAAATCCTAGTTCTACTCATTGTCTGAGTTGTTACAGGACAAAAAAGGTGTTTCAGTAAGATTTATTGTCCAAATAGCTGGGCTGCACTGAAGTCTTGGTATTTACACAGGATTTCAGTGCATGTGTATCACAAGGCTTCTACAGATGGCTCTCTCAAAATAATTTCACAAGGGTTAAGTTGAATACATGCTGAGACCACTTGCTGTCCTACAGACAAATAGTCTTTTATTACTTTTCTCCACCATATGCATGTTTTTTCTTGTCCAGTGCAGAGATGGTAAATTCTTAGGGTCACAGGCTGCCTTTTGCACTGCATTTTGCTGTGTTTTAAGTGACAGAAACATGCTGAGTACCCTAGGGCCTACTGGCCAAACAAATATACAGAAAATTCAAATGACTTGACTAAAAGTACATAGAAAAGAACAGTCAAAAGCTTGTGACAGCAGAGGACTCATCTCTCTTTTGTACATGTCAGTAAAGAGTTTTCAATTCCATCCACTTCAGAGATTTGACCTCTCTAGCCTTCTCTTGGACTCTACTCGTCACAGGCTGATTATGTGGACATAGCCTATCTACTCCAAGAAATATCAGCAGCCTTCCAACCTATGGAACCACTTGAAGCGGAATTCTGCATCTTCAGGTTTCTGTGCTGTAAAACTTCTCTCAATATATTATCTTAGAAGAAGTTAGAAACACAGTCCAACAAAATTTTAGGAACATTCATTTTGTGAGTTTTTCTCGCATATCTCCATTAAAAGCATCTGCTCAGTTAAATACTATCTATTCCTGCCTTTCATTTGACAAAGTCGTTTTAGAATGATGTTCTGTTAGTGATAACAATATTATTCTATATGCTCTACTGATAAGACTTTAAACAGAAGATGACAGTGTATATTACAGGCAGTATATCCAAAGAATTACAGATGACATTTTATCTGTTCACAGAATGCTGTGCACATTTCTTTAAACTATCTTTGAGAATCTAGTCATCATCTAAGTATTTTTCAAATCTTATTTTAATGAAACACATTTGGAATCTCATTTTAATGAAACACATTTTACCTTTGCATACACTGAAATAAAGTATGCTGTACTGCATACTTCCCTTAAAGGAATCAAAGGCAGAAGACAGTTTCATCACCAAAGCAGTAAAACCACCTGCACTTCCAGTTGTCTGTCTCATCCTGCTTTCATTTCCTCTGTTTGGCAGCAGGTCACTTTAAATGTCCTACAAATTTAGGGGGGAAAAAAAAAACAACAAAAAAACCCCCACCTAACCATTCTCATCCTTTGAAATCAGGATTTGATTTTTTATTCACTCTTCAGCACTGGGCTTTCAAAGCATAGCCTGGTCAGCTAACACTCTGACCTTTTGCAAGAATGTCCTTCTAGACAACTGGGTAGCAATTACTCTGTATGCATTAAATATTTTTTACAGCACAGTCACAGCTTTGATGAAGCCACCTATGTCCTTCCAAAGCCAGGGAGTCATAGGAGAGCCACTGCCTTCATCTCCAAAAAGAGGCATGGCAGCAATGAGGATAACTGTCTTTCTCAATGGGGAGCCTTCCAACTGCACACTGAACCAACCCACAAACACAAGATGAGCCCCCACTCTGCAAACGCTTTAGTACACATTTAACTGATGAAAAGCAACTAACTACTAAGGAGCTGCTCAAGCTTTTACAGAAAGTCCTGCGGATTACAACACAAAACAGAATCACAATATAGGTAGGCAGTGTACATGGGACCAAACCTACCACAGTATGAATGCTGTATATTATTTTGTCTCTTAACTCGTTCCTCAAGTGCACATAAAACAGTTTCTCTCCTAATACAAAGCTTGATTAATCCAAAATTAAGGGCAGGAATTCTAATAACACATTTGGAACTTTGTGTTCCATTAGGACTCCTTCCCGCTCCATTTGCAATTTACTGGGACTGCAGACAGAATAGTTCTAATAAAAATTGTAAA